GAAATGAGTTTTAATGAGTTGAGAATAATCTGTGGGTTGTAGGGGACAGGGGCGCTTTGATTTCAAAATAAGGTTTGGATTCATTAATGTATTATTACTTCGCAATGACTAAGTCGGGCTACAACTAAGTTTTCATTTGAGTCTGCCTTATATTTTTAGTTTCGATTTTTAGTTTATTTAAAACCCAATATTGTTTTGTAGAAGATGCCAGTCTGAGACAAATGTCAGCGCATCACATTGAGTTAGAAGGCCACTTTTTAACCCCCACCACCGTCCCTCAATTAACATTTTTTAGAACATACAGATAAATTAATTTATATATAACAATTAATGTAAATTCCCAATACTGCCATTAAGAAAAAAAAATTCGGGTTATGGATTTTCACAAAAAGATGCTATATACAATGACCAGAATTGCTTTATGAAACATTGTGACAAAGTACAAACTCAATAGGTTTATCGATGGTTGACCATTGTGTCTTTGATATATGACACAACAAGTGTCACGAGGTGTTTTTTGTGATAAGATCTATAGTGTTATCTTGTGTTTAACTATAATGACACGGGTAAACTACACATATGATTTAGATTGACATTTATCGCCACGCTTGATAGAATCTCTTTAAAACATACTGGACATTGAACAAGTAGTACGTGTGTAGTTTTGAGTTAAGGTATAATAGCCAACCGCCTTTCAATATTCTGTTTTGTTTGCCAGGTCCGAACACGTGTATCTGGACAATACTTTCTCTTTAAATACCCTAGAATAAGTATCACTTTAGACAGTGCACATTTAAATAGGTTTTTAGAGACTGACATTAAATTTACATTATTCTGAATAGTAGGAAAAAAGTACATTAAGTAACATATTTTGCAGCTCCTTTGTGCTTGGCTTATATTTTCCTATCTCTTGCTGCAAGATACGGATCTTAACGAACATTGTCTAGTCTTTCGGATAAGACGTAAACAGAGGTCTCATGTACATGTACACGCTGGTTTGCACGTCAAAGAACCCGTGGCATATGTAGTTTGGTGAAGAATAGGCGGAAACTCCGCTGCGAAGGCAAAATTTCACTCATACCACACTTCATGGCTTTTGCCCTTCTTCATTATCCTGGTTGGAGACGAACAGCAAGACGCTAAAACTATTTCATTTCATCTTTGACCATTTCTAATCAACGCTAACCCGTGAAATCCATAGTTTATAGAATTTTCGTCAATTATTTTTTTACAAAATTGGGAAGGCCATTAAGTCGCCCTACGACTTTATATGATAATACCTTTATCTTGGATTTGTACTAAGGACATCAGTTATGCTGACATGTTTAGTATACGGATGTCCTTAGATCATTAGAACCGATAAGAACTAATTAACCGAAAGTGACTCAGTTGAATTCTTTTGAACCGGTAGAATATAATGTTACGTGTATGCTCCCAGTTTAATTCTCTGAAAGGAACTAACAACTAGCGGGCGACTAGACGTCGGAAATATTTCAATTTTGTCACACATTGGAGTCATAAAACAAAATATCATACATGTACACCTATTGTTTCTAACAGTCATCATGCACATTTGATGATAAAATATGAGCGACCTAGTCCTCATAATAAACCATAAATAACTTAAGCATGTCGACGACCGGTGGATAAAGAAAACCGCGGCTCGCCCGTCAATGTTTCTAGCCAATATAAATTGTTATTACTCTGTCGGGACTGTGTTATAGTAATACATTAACCCAACCGACAACTTATCTTCATCTTACTATTGTATTTATGTTAATAACTCATTCAAATATGCACCAGATTTAATGAAAAGAAAACACGGAGTCTTTTACGCGGATTCTCTTAGAAATTGATCCCAAAGTTTACACGCGGGAGGCTGAAGACTTAAGAAAAACGTCCAGCTTTAGTTGTTTTAACGACATAGCGCTGACATCCTTGGACTATCTGTTTGTTAAATGTGATAAAATTTCATTTGAATCTTAGCTTTAATCCCCAAACAAATCAGGGTGTAATTTATACATGTCGGGATTATAATACGTCTAATAACGTCCCGGGATATATGCCATATCTTATATGATAGTGATAGATCGACGATCGGAGCCTAAATGTTAAAGAGAGAGAGAGAGAGAGAGAGAGCGAGAGAGAGAGAGAGCGAGAGAGAGAGATTAAAGTCCACTTGACACAAACTAGGCCATTTCGGGACTAACATATGGTTTCAATAATTCAATTATTTCAATAATTCGCTTGCGCGTAGTGGATCTTTAGCAGTGGGAGGAAATCAGAGAACCCGGAGAAAATCCACGAGGTTGTACCGGCGACCCTACTCCTTGTCATGTACAAGCTGGGTAACGAACTCTCACCACTTGACTCACCATGTGAGCTAAAGCGCCACCAGGCCACCATACGCCCCTTAAAGTGAAAATATTACTATCATGATTTATTTGAAAACTCACCAAGGCCTCGGAATACTTTGACAGATTGTGGCGAATATGGTGTAATAATAAGTGCCTTAAGTGCCTAGTTAGCGTCCATCCAAGGGGATATAGCGAATAATATTAATACTGAAAACGATTGCCTTATGTGCAACTGTTCAATATTTCGCGATATCTTTGCCACTTTTAATTTCTGTGGTTTTTCCTTTAACTTTTCGAGAATAAATCATTCAATAAACCGTTTAAAACATCGACATTTCTATCATACCATTTGTGATGATCATAATTGCATATGTAAATATTTTAAACCCCATTACTGCAGTATTATAACCCATTATATATATAGAATATCCCTTTAATATATAAATATAGTAATGTTATCCTAACTGATTATGATATAGTTAATATTTTTAAAATAAAAGGGCGTGTTTTTAGTAGTCGATAGATAAACTATTTGTTTAATAAAAACTAGACAATATTATCACACAATAGATTTAATTTATTTTATATCATAACACCATGCATAGACGGTTCAAAACATAACACCATGCATAGACGGTTCAAAAACATCCTGATACATTATTTAGGAGCACAAATAATATATTCTCTCTCGTCCAGGTGTATATAAATTTGTTCGTGAGTTTCTCGTCCGATCTGAAGGGTAAGGCCCACTTTCATTGCCAGCCTATCAGGCCCTATTCCCCACAAAAAGAAGCTGGAAATGGAAATCCCAAAAGATCGTCTTAATCCACGCCCGGAATTTTAATCTCAGACATTCTGGTAGATGGATAGGAATGTGTACTGGCTTTCGGGGGTTAACGTCAAAATCAGGTAAAATAACAAAATAATGCGGGACTGTCTTTAAAATTACCATGAACAATTCTTTAGACAAAACATATGCCGTGTTATTTTGGAATTCGAAGAAATGACAAAATAGTAACAACTTGAAAAATATATGATCGTAACGGTAACGTAAATTATATACACCCGGATAAACGCCGTCATTCAATACGACTAGAACTGTCTGATTCTACCAGTCAAAGAAGTGGTGTTAAACTGTGAAGTCAAGTGGAAAGGATAGGTTGAAGTAAAACGTAAGATGTTTTTTGAGTGATATTCCGACCTATCATCAGGTTTTTGCATTAGCTCTCAGGCTTTTCTACAAACAGTCAATGAAAATAAGAAAAACACAAAGGTTATGATGAATGGCTTTAACCGTAAAACTATAAATAGAAAAAAAACTACTGTAGAACCGTTAAGGTGCCACACCTCCATGTCAAAAACTGCTTTTTAGTCAGAAATATTCTCGCTTTCTGTAAGAAACAGAACCAGAAGACATTGATACCCAAACTATATATAATTCATTTTAAAGACGTGTATATTATCTATATGGCTATTCTGCTTTCGTCAAAATTAAAATATACTGTGTGTGAAATAGCTTTATTTAACGTCCGCTTCCACCGAAGTGATATCGCAGATTATGCTACAGTTTCAAGAAAGATAAAGGGTTGCTTTAATAGTTTAATCAGAACCGGGTGGTTAACGTGTGTCGAAAGGAACAAGACCTTACTACACGTTTCTGTTGTCTAATGAGCTTTTTGAACTTTGAAAACACACACACTACACCGATGTTGCCGCCGCCCTTGTACAGTTCTATGTCTCATCCCACCACAAAATGAAAGGAAATGGGATTTAACGTCCTACTGTTCGGCTCCGACTGGGCTAATGAAGACGGGCATACGCCGTGCAGTGTGCAATATGAGGAAACTTTTTCCCGGGCAGCGGCGCTACGGCCTACTCCTATTTCGATTTCCATCTGTCAAGGGTCCCTTTACGTGCACACCAATGTGTACATGGGACTGTGTTTTTTCGTCCCACCCGAACGGCTATACATTGTCCCATGCCAGGCCCTCCGTCCTACACCACTAACAAGGGGAAACCATGCCGGCTAGGTTAGCGAGCCAACGCCTTACTCACAGAGCCACCGCGGCTCCCACGACAAGGAAGGAAAACGAACAAAATTGTAGTAATTTCTACTAATTCATTTTGTATCCCATTTCTATTCGACAAGAACATAAAGCTGAACCCATACCCGTGTTGTTAATCAAGTTAATAAAATGCCGGATTTCACTTACAAATTTACTGTTAGGATATTTTTAAAAAATTTCTTCTAGTCTATCGGTACTTGGTTCAGCCTATACAAGTTAAACTTGTGAAAACTTTACTTAGAATTCCGGTAAAATGTTTAATCTAACTCTTTTCGGATTATGCTGAAACGTCTTCTGGAAATGTTTTTTGAGTTACAGTAAAATGCAGCGTTTTAACTTGTTTAGAAACATCGTTTTATTATGGTAAGAGTGTAAAACATTTTGAGAAACCCAGTTACTTAAGCTTATGTGTGCTGAGAAAACCCTTTTTGTAGGACAAATATGTCACAGTGAAATATGTTAAAACACATTTGTCGGGTTACGGTAAATTTTGTTTAGGATCAGAGTTGCTTTTTAGGGTTAAGAGTATATTTAGGTTAGGGTGGGGAAAATAAAGTAGATAAAAGTTTGTACTTACATGCCATTTGATAAACCTTGCGCTAAAATTATATACACATCCACAAGCGTTAAAATTAATATAGTCCACATGTATCGTAATCTCTCCATAGTGTAATAATTTATTAATACCTAGTCTAAGCTAACGTGTAAATCCGTATAAATTTGATAAATATAATTTGTAATAACTATATCACTATGTTATCCAATTATATTTGAACTCCTGAGAAAGTTTTCATTTATTAATATGTAATAACAATTCTCCCATGATCGCATACATTTCTTTTGACTCGAATACACGACACTATTTTTAAAAGGGTTACGCACTGATGCACCTTGTAAATGCAATGGTGAAAATAAATAGATCGTATAGGTAGGAATATCTGTAAGCACTTTAATGAAACTTAGTTATCCAATATAAACATTTTCTGTAAAATATTTCCGATTAAACAGCACATGCCTTCAATAAATAATCCGTCAAAGTTAGCCGAAATTTTTTGTTATGATTAAACTTTGTGAATAACACACCGGTAGACGTAACTCATTCAGTCAACAATATATACTGAAGTATTAGGGACGTCTGTCGACTGTCCCACCTAAACTCTAGCAGACGTTAACTTTAACTAGAGCGCACGAGCCATTCATATCGAGGCAACGCGGAATCCCAAACAGTCAAAGTTCACGAGCTGTCATGCGCGACTGTCGATTCCCGCCGCTGAGTACAGAAAACGGTTACCTTTAATTCATAAAGCTAACTCTACTGTCGTGTTCTGTACATTTTGCAATGTGCTTTCTCGTGTCAGATAGCCAGCGAAAACGTCTAAGAAAAAAGGAACAATCGCAATACTTTATTTCGATTTTCAATCTCACCACGACTGTCAGTTAAGAAAATTAATGGGAATTCCGCGACGCCTTAATTATGTCCAATATTGAGTGTGAAGTTTTTGCATTAATTACCCACCTTTCGTGTGCGTTATCTTTAAACTACATAGAGTTTACATCACAAACATAGGGTATTATCAAGTACTTTATGTGCAATATGCAAGTCAACGATAAGAGAAGACTTGCTCGTAGACATAGTAAACTTATATCTTTATGGGAAAGCGTTAAGGTTTTTTTTCTTAAAAAGACAACCGGATTAGATATAAATCGTTTGTTTTATGTACTTGCAATGGGAATTGGAAGAAAAAAACAAAGTCTAGAGGGACTGTATCTGTTTATTATACTTAACGCCCACCGTGACTCTGCTGGTTATCATTCGTCCGAGTCCCCGATTACCTTTAGGCTGTTAATCTTCTGAATATTGAAGGGTGTCGTGCACGATATAGCTATGATAACACTTAATATCACATCATATAAAAATTTCTTGCCCGTAAAAAGAACAAATTTCGATGAAGAATAGACGGATAAACCACTGACCGGGTAAAATTCTCCTCCACGCGGCCTTAAAAACAAAGTGTCAGCGAAATTTTAAACTCAAATTCTTTCCTTTCCTTTTATGTCTTAAGACAAGTGTAATCCTACAAAGGGCTTGGAATGATATAGGTGTTAGTTTATTTGTTCAAAATAAAAAGGGTTAAATACTTCTGACCCTAAAACCATATATTCTTATTATTATTAACCCATGGTGGTAAGAATGTTTTCGGATATTAGCCATTATATTCCACCTATACTATAAGCACCACGCTTCAGTGATCTCAGCTGGTGCTAAGATAGTAATAAATATATAAGAGCGTCTAATAACGATATGGTTTGGGTTTGTTTTGTAAGCGAGATTCTTCCAATCATTGCCAACTCCACGGGCAGTCGGCCTTTTTAATAAAATACTCGTTAGACACTAGTTCAATCGCCGATCCTAAATATATTAACGAATTTAATCTCACATGAAAGTCGATAAGAAGAATTGCTACGACTTTAATCAAATGTCGGGTATGTAACTTTCTATAGCAGAAATAATTGCGTTTACATTCCTTCTAGTCTTTTAATATTTTAACAAATGCATTAGAGAACGAGTCTTAGGTTAGAGCAATGGTAGGTTCCACACACATGGCAGGACATGTTGACAATTTCTAGAAAACCTAGTACGACTATCCATTTTGCGATTTTTTCACGTGGCGCATCAATTTGTTGTTACCCGATTTCACCGAATTCATCCATTCTTTGAAGTTTGACTGTATGTAATGATAGATATTTCGTGACCATCATCAATGGGTAAAATGGCCAAGAAACAAACTCGACACAAACTGTATTGAAAATTGAGTATCGGTAGTTTTAATCCAGGATACGTTTCGGTTGCATGGCCCCCATCGCTTAATTGATCAAAGACTTGTGCTCGAACACGACCTGGTTTTGGACAAAAATAATTTCTTTTATCCCCAACCGTATCACTGAAATGTAGTATATCAGAGATTCTTCCGCCCATTTTTTGTACTTTTAGAAAGGGGTTAATTCATCATAAGTATGAGTGATTCTTCCGCCCATTTGTTGTATAGCAATGTGTTAATTCATCATAAGTATCGGGCATTTTCCCGCTCATTTATTGGATTAAATTCAAACCTTTATCAGTAGCTAAATATTGGTTGTTCGGCTATAAATAGACTTGGTATTATTTTATGCAGCAGATTTAAACGAATCTTCAAAATCTCTTTCAAAAAAAGTACACAGAAAACAAAAGGTAGACACAAGACATTTTAATACATTCATTTAATTTTACATATAAACGAATAGATATAGTTTGATTTAGTGGAAAGGTGGATAACTCTTCTATAACGATATCTACATTTTCAGTTTATCTCGTTGGAACAGATATAAATTTAAATTTGTCTTAAAATGAATTTTGTCTATATGTTTACAATTTGTTAACGCACAAAACTCAGATTATAAGTAATATTAATATGTAGGCGGTAAATAACGATATGTCTGTAACCATTAGAATTTATCTTATATTAAGAGATATGATATAAAAAATACTTTACATTCATAACCGATGTACCAAACCTCAGATGTATAGATTCACAGCAGTCAGCTTCCTTCTACTCCGCCTTCAATAATAGAAATACCATCTATAGGGAATCTAAATCTTGACTTGAATACAATTCTCATTTAAAATTCTCGTGTGGGAATGGAATGGGATTTAACATCTTGTCAGTACGATATTTGGGTGCTTTTGAGACTTCCAGCGAATTCCAACTACGGGTGTACACGGATAGACCTTGGTTTTTCGTCGATCTCATTCCGAACACATCGCAGGAAGCAACCCCCCTCTTCCGAACCCTATTAAGATTTGACTAGTTCTAAAGTAGTTTGATTTCGATTCATTTAATGTCAACTGCTGTAGAGTCGCGGGAAGAAAATATGTAGTATTGAATAAGGCGACTAGGAGCAGGTTGATATTCCAGTGCAATGCAGCAGGCGAGAGAAAGATCGATATTGATAAGTGATATCTGTAGGTATAAAGGGTTAAACTTTGATACTTGAGTTTCTCCTGTGGAGAGCAGTAATGTCCACAGAGAAGAGTAATTGTATTTAGGGAAAGGGGTAGGAATGTTCGAAATAAATTGAAGTTTCGTTAGGGAAACTGGTGAAAGACGATGCTGAACAGTTCGAAATTGAAGTTTTGTCAGGGTAAAAGACGGCGAAGAAAATCGCGATAATAAAGTTTCGTTTGGGAAAAAGACGACGGGAAAATGATCGACATTAAAGGTTCGCTTCGGAAAAGGGAAAAAGACGAAAGGAGAAAGCTCAATATTAAGTTTTGGTTTGGAGAAAAGGGTAGAAGGTAGAGACTGAAAGTTGGAATTATCTTTGTAAAGGAATGAGGATGACTTTGGTACGTGTAATGGTATTAAAGACGACGTTAAATACAAGCATAGTAATTAGTGAAACACAATTAAAGTGTTTTTACAGGCGTGTTTTCGTTCGAGCCGTGGACTAGACAGAATTGATTATTTGCATTCCAGAAAAAGATAAGTTCCTGACATTCTATTAAGTCACAACCATCCCGTAATTCGGTCACTAGGTAGAACAGTGTTACAGATAGAGAGATGCGTGTTGACAGGTTGTACAACTTTTGTGTTGTTAAAACACTAGTCGTTCTTTAATGCTGTCATTGATGTGATTTGGCTGATATGTCAACAGACTTGAATCAGGTTTCTCAGCCTCTGTTAACTTACATGTAACACTTGTTCAATCAGATCAACTTTCAAAACTCACTGATTTATTTTTACTACCACCAGAAACAATAAATACAAAATGGTTACGACATTCCGTGTCAAACCAAACATGAAATAAAATGGAGCTCTCGTCCTATATTTCTGCACAATCCGAGCTGATAAAGACGGGCATACGCCCGGACAGCTTCGCTTCTGATGCTAAGATTCTATTACGTGCTACCTAATGTGTACACTGGAGCTTGGGTTGCCGTTCTATCCTATCGACTTGAAGCTTTAAATTTCTTTGCCAGACTCTCTAGACCAACAATTGAGATTCCATGGAAAACCGAACATTTTGCGACCAAGAAAGAAGTTATTTCTTGTTCCAAGAATCTGATTTCATTTTATATCACGGAGGCTAAGTGGGTAAGACGCTGGCTCGCTAGCCTGGAGGTCCCGTGTTCGATCCCTGCATTGACCCAGAAAGTTTATCAGGATTTTCCGACGTGGTTCACCCTTGTCAGTGACGCAGGACGGACGACCTGACAAGGACAGCTGTCTAGTCGTTCGGATGGACGAAAAACCGAGGCCGCGTGTACACATTGGCGTGTACGTAAAAGATCCCTTATCAGTCTGAATTCGATATAAGAGTGGGCCGTATTGCCGCTGTCCGGGCAAAATTTCCTTCATAGCACACTGTATGGCGTATGCCCGTCTTTATTAGCCCAATTCGGAGCAGAACAGTAGGACGTTAAACCCCATTTCATTTCATTTTTGGTTTTGGGTGACATAAAGCATATGAGTTACAGAAACCTGATAATGCAAGTCGCGACTACTCTCTAATGTACCCACCAATATGATCAATCAGAACGACGTTTACTTTACTACGAAACCAAGGCACGGGGAATGCCGAAACAGCGTCAAGCAAACATGGTTGAAAACCAAGAATTGCTACATGTATGCCATATTAATTATGGTTGTCCAACACGGAGACTAAACGAATTTCTGAAATAATTTCATACCCTATAAACCATGTTACCTGTGCGTATCATCGTCATTAACTTCTCAATCTCCTGAATCAAGTAGCAGGACACGTGTTTAAGTGAATTTACAAGACAAAATAATGTACCAAGACTAATTTCGTTCACCATTTTAATACGAACCTGATTATGAATGGAAACTTCATCAAGGGCCTATTTCTTCCGTAGTCTGTTGTGGGGATAAATGATGGGGATATGACAACGTTAGCAATACCATAGAAGAACGCCAAACTCATTCCTGTTTCTGGTCCAAGATTATTGTTTTTATTGGTGTTGATTGATGTAAATTTAATTAAACGGAATGGGGTTTAACGTCTTACCAACTCAATATTTCTGTCATTTTGAGACTAAAATGTTGTAATTTTCATTATTAAAAGTTACAATGCGGGCGTTGGTGTAAAGTGGGGTATCATTTTGCCTGGACAGTGGCGTTTTCGCCTACTCTTCTTGCAA